AAATACGAAATCCTGCGTATATTCGTTATAGCAACGATTAGCTATGTTCGATCGCGAGCAATAATAAATTAAATATGTTAGTAGAGTTTCATCTATTAATTTAAAAACCTATATATATATTACACTTAATTCAAATAACACTGGGCTTATGAAAAATATATAATGATACTTTTGTGCAATAAAGCCTCGCATGTACTCAATTTTCGTTCTTGTCGGTCTATTCTCGCTCCCTTTACATGCGGCTGAACTATACACTCGCGCACGCGTCCCGCTGACCCTCGATCATTCCGATCCTCGGGTGCAGCGTATAATTTGTACACTTAAGTGTATATTTGTTACGAAAGAAATTTACAAATACTTTTATACAATTTCGCGATTCTAATTATATTAGAATTCTACGAGGAGTTAACAGCTCTTGTTAGATCCAAATTTAATAGACACGTTGTTTCGCGTACGGAATCAGATTCCCGATTCAAGTCGATCCGTTTTACGAAAACAAATCACCCTCTACTCGATGGAAACATACTTATAATTCTTGACGCGGCACAAGAGTTTGAGATACTCTAGTAAACGATCTCGTATTATCTTCTCGCCGGATTGCGCAACACGCACGATATACTCCGCGCGCGGAAACGGTGGAGAAAAAGCTAATACGAGATAGCGAAACGATAATGCTAAGAAACTGTAAAAGATTTCGATTATACGTATCTGTCTATAGTCTGAAATTTTCTACAGCTTCACACTTGTAAAAACAACATAGAAAAAGATCTTGGCCCGGTACGAAACGATCCCCTTCGTGTGAAGGGAACGCGACGTACGGGTGTATATATACGATTAAATATGATACGAATGGACGGGTCGCATTTAATAGTGCAAGAAGAAGCAAACGCGAAACTCGTTCGCCGTTTATCTTACGAAACGGATCGAATGGAATCAATTTAACTTACACGACGAAGCAAAACGACAGATCGCGGTCGATCGCTTTGATTATAGACGTCTTTCTGTAACAGATCAACAATGGTCCGTATCGCGTACGGATGTTAATGCCGCATTATCGTTGCTGTATAATCCAATGTCACGGATTTAATCCGCCAGGCCTTTTCCGGTTTCGTCTGTTCCTCTCCAACAAGAACGATAAATCCAACGGGTCCTTTCTGTTCGGCATCTTTTGCAGTAAACCGATTAGGATATTATTTAATCTCCGCCTCTGCTCTTCTCTCTGCGAACAGCGATCAATGTACGTTACGTACACAATCCTAGAGAATCTGTATCAGTGTTTCACAACGTGGGGCCGTCGCCCTATAAGGGGGGATTTGATTTTTAAGGGGGGTAATTTAAAAACTGAAATATCACCATATATTTCACAATATTTACGCATGTGAACAAAATAGCGAAAATATTATAATAAATATTATAATGTAATATTAAAAATTATATATATGTTATATAGGGTGGCATAAAAATTTTAGAAAGGCTTAAGTGGGGCATGGCGCAAAAAAGGTTGGGAAACACTGATCTATACCATGCTCACATATTTATGCGAGCAATGAAAATGATTATCATTCGCTTACCTGGGCATACGATGTCGCCGGTGTAGGGATAGTCAAGATCTCATTCGATCGTCGCCTACCCTTACTCGTAGAAGATTTCTGTTGATCCTTGCTCTGTGTTTTGGAGCTGTCGCTCGATTCCGTCTTTTGAGTAGACTCGAGATCTTGATTGCCCATCTTTTTCTTATCTTTATTCATCTTACCGCCGACCTGTATCCCTTCAAGACTGTGGGGCTGTAACATTTCGCAAATGTTCGTATTCATATCCTTGCGATCGCTTCTTCGCGTTGTCTCGATAGCATCGCGACAACGATACTCACCAAATACGTTCGGTAATGTTTAATGCGTTGCGGGAACGTTTCGAAAGCGTACGGTTTCGTGCAGACCTGATGCCTGGCTCTGGCAACCTTGGTGAACAATCGAGCAGCGCGGTCGACGCGATACTCGCACACGTATGTATGTTCCGGAGTGGATCCAACTGGCCGTCCTTCATTTTCCAAGGAAACAATCAGAAACATGGATTAATAAAAACGTCAACAACGAACTCGTTGTAGATATGCACACCGAGACACGTTGATGAATTACCTTTGCAATAAGTATGAGGATCGAGAACCCAACAGCGTTCGGCGACCAAATCGCACGGTACTGCTTCGTAGAGAGGAGCGCAGACGACCTCGTTTTCGTAGAACTTCCGCGTGGGCTCGTGATAGGTTTCATGAGGTCTTAAATAGTGATGACCGAACACGAATCTTTCCCCCCTGTAAGAAAATGGATGATATAAATATCTGTAACTTCCTCTAAGAAGCATTCAACGAACGAAACGAAGCTACTACGATCCTTACTCCGTGTTCTTCCAAAGTCTCTCGATTCTGAAGATATCCATTTGTTCGTAATCAGGTTTCTGAATGGTTTTATATGTATGCTTCTCCGGAGTGTCTCGTAACACGTACACCGTATCTCCCTGCCTCAGCTGTAAATCGCCGCGCATCAAAGTAACGTAGTGTTTCTTCCCCTCCTCTTCCTCGTCCCCTTCCAACGGTATCTCTAAATCGACAGGACGCGGTTGACATCTCTCGCACAGGTACGACTCGATGCTAGTATCAGCTTTAACGCAGTCGCAATGCTGCCAAACCAGACATCGTTCGCACTGAATCATCAAACCCTCATCCCTGCGTAGAAAAGAATTTTTCCTGTACACTGAAATCGTCGCCCAACATTCAGAAGATTTCAACAACCGAAGCTCACCTATGTAACCCACATATACATCTAATAACGTCTTCCTCTCCAGCAGTAGACCCTCTGGGAGGCAAGAAACCTTGAGACGGAGGACACCCTATCGCCTCTGTAATCGCGTTTACGAAGTCAGGTTTACTTCCAAGGTACAATTTCCTGAGCCTGGCCGCGGCGATTCCTAGCTCCGAGGTTCTCCCGAAAAATCGGACGTTATTGTCGAAGAGTCTGATCATGTCGTGATCGAAATGCTCAGCAGTTTTATAATGACCCGTCCCAATACATTGGTCGATCGTGCTCAAGTCAATAGGATCCGATATCTTCTCATAATAATCGGGCAATTTTCTTTTCGAGGGTAACGCCACGAACGGCGAGCACAGCAGCTGTCCGTTCTCGTCGTTAGCCGTCGCCACAACACTGTACAAATCTTTCAACACCTGAAACAAGAAGCAAAGTTCCGTGTCAAGTAGAAGTCGCAACGGGTTCGGTAAATATTAATATCGTGTTCACCTTTGCCAGTTTCGCGGTTTTATGCACCTCAGGGTCGTCTTGCGCCTGCGCCAGTCTCCGTGTCCGTACCGTCCGGGTGTTGGTATTGGTCAAAGCAGTTAGTTGCGAGAAGAACGCGTCCGACTGGATCTTAGCGTCGCCGGGGCTCTTCTCTTTGAAGGTACTTGCGTTCCCGAATTTCGTTTTGCCGTTCTGCATTTGTACTTGGTTCACCGACGATTTCACCCTCCTCACCTTCTCCAGGTTCCTCAGCAGGAAACAATGATGTTGCTGCGCGAAGCATCGTTGCTGATGAGACATCGGTTTCAACGCGGGAGCATGGAGCAGGCTCGGGTCGCCCACTTTGCGAGACTTGCAGATGCCTTTAGAGTTGACAGACTGAACCGCGTTCGACTTCCGCACGTTCTTCCTCGGTCTGCCAACCGACCGTCTCTCCGTCGGTTCCAATTGAGACGGAACGGGAACGACAGTCTTCGGTACCCTTTGACTCTTTCCACCTGTGAAACGAATAGTACAGAATTGTAAAGACACTTCTCGATTCGATGAAGAGTTAGAATGACATCGCGCAGCCTGCGACGGAGAACAACTTATTACCTATCACACCCCTGCAAGCGCTGCTACCGCATCTACATTCCTGTCCTTCCGACGGATTGAACAGAGCGAAATTGTAGTCGTACGTTAACTCTTCTCCCGGCTTGATGTCTCTCGAGGCGAACAACGCCATACGCGGGTGTCCGTTGACACTCCACTTCTGCATCTCGCAGTTAGGTTCGCAAGAGTGATTCACGAAGCGTCCATCGCCTCCCATACGATGACCATCAATCACCAAACCTCCATCCAGGTGTAGACAATAGTGGTGCGTATCGTTCGCGTACCTAGCATGCAATCGAATGGAGTTACATTCACGTATTCCTTTTCCTATTATATCTTACACCTCTCGTCACGATAAACATACCTGGTCGCCATTCTAGATTTAAACTCCCTCTCGGACACGACCTCCCCTACATACTCGAGAATAAAAACACCGGACTTAATGGCTTGCTGAGTTCTCACGCCCCAGCCTTTATCTTCTGTCATGAACTTCTGCAAGCCCGGCGACCACTCGTGCTTCTGAATCTTCTGATTCGCGCACTTGTCCCCGCAGGGGCAGAGCTGCGGGGAACATTCGCTCAACACCATGCGATTGATGCAATCGTCGCCGCAGCCGCTCTCCGGTTTGCACTCGCACGCTTGGGACTCGTACAGCGTAGTCGGTTTCACGTCGTAATAAACGTTCATGCGAATTTTCCTGCAACGAAGATAAGAGGATGAAGCGGAACACTTTCTGCGAGATACTCTATGACAGTGATCGGCAAACCGCGGTTCTTTGGCCTCTTGAGTGTGGCTCTTCCACAAAATACCACGTGCGCGCACGTACAGTGCGATTGAAACTTCGTGCCCCATGCGCAGAAGTCGGTTTTCGGCGTGGGCGAGTCTATTCTGAAGAAATTATCATTCACTCTCGAGACTCGAGGACGTTTTGGCAAAGGCCAGCTTAGCAGTACCCTAATTAAGTTAATAACAATGTGCCTACCTATATAGTTTAAGTTTAACAAATTTGGCTCTCAAAAGAAATTTCAATCGTACTGTTGATAGTTGGTTCTGTTGACTAATGACTTTACCGACCACTGCTCTATATTTGATCATCAACCGATTTCTTACTTGTAGTTCCACGACGGTACCGATTCCCTGCTAGGTAACCTAGACTGCGTGTGAAGCCACCACAGATCGTACGGCAACTGAAACGACATCTTCCTTTGTCGCAGAAATTTGCCGCATTGATACGAAGCCGACAAGAGGACGGCAGACGCGGAGTCGTTCGTCTCGCCAGTGATTTTGCTCTTCCCGATGGTGTCGACGCCGCTGCTGCCGGTGCCGCCGCTTCGCGTCTTCGACTCGCAATCTTTACCCCCGTAATCCTGCAGCACGCCGCCTTGCAAATAACGCTTCTTCCATCTGGACTGCTTCTTCCGCGTGTGCGTCGCGCTCGAGTGTTTGCCGCCCTCGGAATCACCGCGCACGAGAACGTTGTTGTTAGACGAATTGTCGTTTTCCGTGTCGTAACCGGAGCTACGCAACCGCTTCATGTTCCTCGGCGCGAGGGTGCAGGGGCTCGAAGAACCGCGCCGCTTCTTCTGACTGTTTCCGTTCAACGGAGCAGAATGCTCGGTCTTGATGTTCGCCTGAGACGTCGACCGTTCAGGGAGATGCTTCGTGTTTTCTTCTATCGCATCCACGACGCATCGCTGCTGTTGAGCCGTCTCGTACCTCCCGAGGGACTCCTCCAGTGGCGCGTTCTCGTCGTAGGTTCTTGGGTCTTGAATCTTCTCGAACTTGACGGGACAGAACTTCTGCGCGGCATTCTCGTCGCTCTCCGTTTCCACGAGATCCTTCCGAACTCTCAGCTGACCGGCGCGAGACTCGGTGACCTCGTTCGCGCAAGCGTGCCCGAACGAGTTCTCCTGTTTCGTCGAGTCTGAGTCCTCCAGATTCAAACCGCTGCCGAGCTTCGCCGGCGCATGCGTCTCTTGCTCGTCGTTCCCGTCGTTCCCGTCGTTCCCAAGATCATTCGCGTGCCTGTTGAGCTGTTCGTTCGACGAGATCGTCTCCTGTATGTCCGGGCTCAACACGCTCGGCTTGCTCTCCTCGATGGCGTCCTCCAGCCCTTCCTTAGACGAATTCTGATCGCCGTCGAGATCCGCGTCCAGTTCTGCGTTGTCGTCGCTGGTCAAAGCGGCCTTCGCCGTTGTGCTGGTCGACGCCTCGCTGGTGCTCAACGATCTTTTCTTTTTCTTTTTCTTCTTCAAGGTCGGGAAACCGGTACGATTGATCGCCTTGCGCCGCCTCATCTTCTTCTTCGTGAGGACCAACGCCGCGGCGGAGTTCAAGGGGTTCGCGAGGTTTGGGGCAACGTTGTCTCGCGGCGGTTTGCTCTCGCTAGCGGTCTCGCTCTCCTCGTAACTCTCGGTCGCGTGAAATTCCGCCGCGTCGGTCTTTATATTCTTCTCGAGGCGAACGTGTTCCGATGAATGGTCGTTCTTGTCGAGCTTGTCTTGATTTCTATCGGACTTGATCAATTTCTCGGCGATCATCTTCTCCTTACTGCAGCCTTTGTCGGTACCGTGTGCTTTCGAGCTCTTGTCGTTCGCGCACTTCTCCGAAGATTTCTCCGGCTTCCCGTCAATTTTCTCAGGTTTCTCGGCTCTCTCCATGTGACTGCTCTCGACGGGAAGTTTCGTTACCGTGACCCTAAGATCTTTGACTATCTTCTTCTTCCGACGCGGCTGCACGTCCGCTTGACTCAGCGGCTTTTCATCCGGGGACTCGGACGAGGCTGCCACCGATTTCTCTGGACTCGAGTTTTCCGTGTCTCTGTGCCTCTTCTTGGGCGTAACAGGTACAGCGTCTTCTTGGGAGGAAGAAGCGGAACTTCCGCCCCCGTATCTCGTGATCGTGGCTTCGATGGCCTCTTCTATGTGGCTCTCGGTACAGTTGCTCTCGTTCGCGGTGGGATCGCTGGAACTCGAGTTCGAGCTTTGAGAACTATGCGGGCTGGAGACATGGTAGTGCCTCTTCTTCAACGGCAGCCTCTGCTCGTTCGGGTTCGAGTTCGCGGTCGCGTTCACGCCGCTCTTCGAGTCGATTGGCAACACCTTCTCCTTCTTCGAGCGTCTCTTCAACTTCTGATCGTCGCTCGACGCGATGTCGCCTTTCCTCTTCTTCGTTAGCTTTTTCACGCGGAAAATCTGCGGTAACTCGGAATAACCGACACTCGCGTTGTTCCGACCCAGGCTGCAGGATCTGGAGAACTCCTCGATCAGTTTCTCCAGCTCTTGAATGATGCACGGATCGATCCGGATCGGATTCTTCGGGGGGTTCAACGGCAACCGCCGTCGGTGCTTGTGATGATGGTGATGTTTGTGACAATGATTGTGTATAGGCTGTGTAGCTTTGTCGCATTTGTTGCTGGGTCGCTCGACCTTCTCCGATTTCAGTACCTGGCCAACCGGCAATGAGATCAGGGTCTGCACACCGACGCCGTTTGTTTCGAACGTGGTCGACGTCCTTTTGCTGTTTTTGTTCTCTTTCAAGACGCGTCGTGTTACCGGCGCGACGTTCTTCTTCAACAAACCCTGCCTCTTCGACGACGGGGCAGAGTTGCTTCTGTTCTCTTTCAAACTCCTTCTGCCGGAATTGATCGGCTTCCTGTCGGACGCCATCCTCTCGCAAGACGACTGCTTCTGCCGGCGCAACGGCGTCGCGGACTTGTTGTTCACGCTCGGCTTGTCTTTCCTCATTTTCTTGCACATTCTCCCGTCGCACTGACTCGCATCCTTCCCATACTTACTCGTAACAGTTCTACTTAGGCACTTAACGCGTGAGGGAGAACCCGCGTTGTTTCGTTTCCCGCTTAGCCTCCCCTGCGAGAATTGTTTCGAAACATTACAACTACGTTTCTTCTGGCAAATTGGCTTCTCCTTTAATTTCTTCGTCGTGTCACCTTCTTCTTCCTTCTCCTCTCGGCTCGCACCAGTTTTATGCTGGGCCGACTTCGATTTGCCTCTTTTGTTCGGCTCTTCTTTCGAAGTCTTTTGCTGCGGCGCAGACGTCGCATCCTTCTTCTCGTTCTTCTCGATCTTTTCCGCCTTTTCTATCTTCTCGATCTTCTCTACGATTTCTGGCTTCAGCCTCGGCCTACCTGGACCGCGCGGTTGTGTGGACACCGTTTTCGCGGGCCTGCCAGGTTTACGCTTCGGCGGGTATAGAACTCGATCCACGTTCACCGCCGGTTTCGGGACGACAGTTTGGATCGGCGATTGCGTCGGAGCTGGCGGACTCACGGGGCTAATCGCCAAGTGCAGCGGACTGTTATCCACCGACTGTATCCCCGAATCCGGAGAGACGTTCGAAGCGCAAGGATACTCTGGATCGTTTAATTTTTTGCTCGCTTTGCTCCGTCTCTTCCGTGGTTCCGATAACAAAGCTGTTTTCTCGACGAACTGTTGCAACAAAGTGGAACTATACACAGGTACAGGATTTTGATCACCATTCTCACTTGTGTCCGAATCAGCTCCGAGCGACATACGTTCTATAGCTTTCGATACCAGTCGACCGCTTTCCGAATCCTCGAAACCATCAAATGGAGCATCTTCATGCTCTTGGTCCGGTAAAATAGCCGCTAAATCCTCCTGATTTATTTCTTGAAGCGGCGGATGTTGTTGTTGTTGCGGTTGTTGTTGCTGTGGTTGTTGTTGCTGTTGTTGCTGCTGCTGTTGTTGTTGCTGTGGTTGCTGCTGCTGCAGCTGCTGTTGTTGTTCCTGTTGTTGTACTTGTTGTTGCTGTTGCGGTTGTTGTTGTTGTTGTTGCTGTGAATCGGACGACGGTAGGCGACTTTCCGACGAATCTGAATCGTCGCTGCTGCATTCCGACGACTAAATGAAAAATTGCTAAATTATTCGCAGGGAACAAGTAATCTATTAAAGCAACAATTTACCTTTGCCTCGCAATTTGCTTTAATCTTTTTTGTTAAATTTCTTCTGGTCTTCTCGCAGCGGGTTTTTTCCAAATCTTCTTTTTTCGGACCTTTCATAGTGATCTTTAGTTTAAGCGCTCCCTGTAAGACGGATGAAAATTGATCCAATTTCGTCGGAAAATAGTTCGAACAAAACGAAATTATATAATGGAGACATTACACTGATTTCATTGCATTCGAGCGATACCGCGGTACACGTACCGATTCGAAATTGGTTTCTTGAATGGAGAACGTTTGTTCGCTGTGCTCAGACGTGCAATCCGAATTTGAACCTGTATCTTCCTCTTCTTCGTCACCGCTGCTTTCGTCGTCTGAGTCCGAATTCGAATCCGAATAAGAGCAACTGCCTTCTGTACCACCAGAACTTTCGTCTTCGGAATCTGAATCTTCTTCGGAATCGACAGAATGTGTTCCTACGGTGCCCAAATGACAATCATATACGGAATTATCTAATAAAGCTACAGTCATAATAAAACAAACGTATCGATACCATTAGGTTCAGTGGTTGGATCCCAACTACCTCCACCTTTTATGGCATCCATGTCAACGGTTGAAGGAAGTTCTCTTTCCTGCTCCCCATCGTTTTCTTCCCAATTCCAGTTCTGTAGTTCTAACTCCGAAGGATGGTGAATAACAGCGCTCCATCCTGAATCACCGGACATTTTTTGGCTTATCTAACATCCAATAGAATCCAATAGAATACCATTCCTTATGATTTTTTTCGTTGGTCGACTTCGTTTGTACTCTTATAAACCATGTCCCTCTTAATGCATACAATAATTAAACTTTATACGTGTCGGTGAAACTCCCATGATTGCCAGCTTGTTCATATCCAACGATCCTTGTAAGTGTGATTACACTTTATACATAATTACACAGCTGCAACAGCAAATACAAACACACGTTTTTGTAAAAACAATATCAACGGAATGGAATGAAACAATGAATAGGAATGCAATGGAAGAAATGTACTCGCAAGTAACAACACAGCAAGATAATAAAATATAAGCAATGGGATCAGGTTTGTCGGTTCACAAATATCGCAGTGCACAGTTGCCTTCTTATTTCACATTATTATTCTAAGTAAGAGGTACTTAACAAAACAGATTAATCTATCACAATGTTTCCCTTATTACATAATAACAAATAAGAAAACTAAACGTAGACTCAAAGATGCATTCGATCATGTTCCAGCATCGAAGGAATTTTTCAACAATTTCTATTGTCATCTTCCTTGTTCATATCATTAAAGATGTTTCTGCCAGTAGTGAAAATACTTAAAATTCGTCAGGTATCATAAACAATACTAGGCTCGGAGATCTTAATCCGCTTTGATCCACGAAACCAGCTAATCCTCATAATCCTGCTGGGTTCACTAGCTCACTGTATTGTTACCTCCGAGTATACATTGACCCAAGCTGAAAAGGATAACACGAAGGTTGCTGTCATCGAACAGTTTCCAAATCTTTTGAAACCCTTTACCGACCGGATTATCATGATATTTCATAGAAACAGAAACAGATGTTTTATCGGTATTCGAATCGAAGGTGTTCCCATTTTACGTTACAGCGTTTCACATACGGGTGGGAGAGAAGAGTGCTCCGAGCGCGGGAGATCGTTTACATATAACCTCGCACGGTGGGACGAGTCATCGACAGAAAAGAATCACGACCGTTGAAATGTCGGCAAACCTCTCTCAACGGTTCAAACTGTTACCTACGAAGATCATTCCCGGCAGTCGATGGAACCGTCATCGAGGATACGTTACGCGTCGTTGTACGTCGATGCGCGCGTATTTCGGGTACACGCGCGTCACTTTTGTGTATGCACAACGGTAGCGACAATGGCAACGGTAACGTAACACGGATACACGCGCAAACGACACATCAAACGGACCGAGAGATGAACGAATTTTATCCAAAAGCTATCGCTCTGTTTACATCGTCGATGAAGCGCACAGAGATCTCTCGAGAGTAACACATAATGGGGGAAAAAGAGGGAGGAACGGAGAAGGAGAGAACGAGAGCGCGAGCCAGAAAGAGAAAGAGAGAGAAATAGAACGCGAAAAAGGAATACAAGGAACAGCGAGTGTGAGAAAGAGAGTCTACGAGAGGAAACGACCGAATGAAGGGGGAGAACAGGGAGTAAACGAAAGAGAGGGAAAGAGAGAGACCGTGAGAGAGACAGTGTGTATTAGAGAGAGACAGAGAGAGAGAGAGTGAGAAAGAGATAGGCAAGGGGGGGAAAGGTTCCAGATCGTAGAAATGAAAAAAATAAAAGGCAAGCACGTTATCGTCGAAGCGAGCGCCTAAAGCGTGGTGAAGAGTGGTGAAACGAGAAGTAGGTTCGTAACGCGGACAATGACAGACACGATACCCTGAGGCCTCCTTCTTCCGCATCTCACGATAACGCGACGGAGGATCCACAGAATTCTGGATCGACGATTAACCGACGATAATCCTCGAGTTGCTTCGCCACGGACAGCTGTTTCTGTTTCTCGGTCGATGCGCCAGGTGCGTCGGCGACAGTACCCCGTGGAAACTCCCGTGTACGCGAGTAGAACTCAAATTGTCGCGCCATCTAACGTGAAACGCTGCCGTTACACCCTCGCAGCGGTTTATATGAAATTTTACATTTTATTCCCTTCCCAGCCGTTGCAATCCGCTGGAACAACATGCGTCACCCTACGCCTGGATTACATGCGAAATTCATCAAGTACGATTCTATGATTAAATATCTAATACTCGTTAAACATGGAAGACGCGACCGTTACTCGTAACGTACAATTTCAAATTCTTCTCGTTTACCTTCGGAGTTTTATCATTCGAAGAATTTATAAAGAAAATATCAGTCCGACGTGTCTCGTGGATAAATTTATTTTCGCCTCGTGTCATGTCAAAACCATAGTTAAATTCATCGAAACGACGTTCGATGGGTCGAGGGTGTCCCGCGTTATCGATAATCGAGGGCGACCGAGAATCGGCGGTGAAAAATTCGTGTTCCTCGCGCGATTCGATAAACATCGGCCGCCGTCGAGACGAGGGATCACGCGGTATACGTTCGATTCTCGGTGGAATGAATGGGAGATAAGAAACGCGGAAGTGGGAAAGACCGGGGCGGAGGGAACCACGGCAGGACACGTTAACGTTCGGCGCTCGAGTGTCCTCTCTAGATAGGCGTGTGCATCGGGACGGAAGGGTGGTAGGAGTATGGGCTTGGAGTCGGCAATATGGCCGGCCAGATGTGCATAGGCAGGGTGTTGGGGTGGTGTTAGTGTCCTGTGCGTTATTTATGTCGAACTACCGTAAATCCTGCCCGAATCTTGCGTGTTTTCATGGAATCGGTGATATACTGTGCAGAAGCAGGAATACGGCTTGCATGAAGGCATAGCATACGCTTCCGAGTCAGACAAACATGACGTAAGTTCCACGTACGTGACATAGCATTCGAAGAAAAGTGTAGAAGCCTGGAGCCTCGGATCCGCTCGGGTTCATGGCTACGATCACCGCTCCGTTCCGTCTCCGATCGTCCCCTACGCCCGCACGCATCTTTCCGATTCCCGTTCATCCGTTCTTCCGTCCACATCGATCTTCCCATTTTTCACGGACGTCCCGTTACGGTGTTTCGGCGTTTTTCTCCCCGAACGGGGAAAGACCGAGAGCGAGAGCGAGAGAGAGAGAGAGAAAGAGAGATGGAGAGACAGAGTGTGCGAGAGAAACAGAGAGAGAGAAAGAGAGTCCGGCAAACACCATTCGTATTAGGTTTCCACCGGGG